ATAAGACATGCTTCACAAAATTGATTGGGATGGTTGATTAAGGCATCCCACTCACCATCTTCTTTTCTCCCATGACTTTAAATGCTTTAAGATTCAAATGGCTTAATCTCATGTGCTAACACCATGATTCATCCTTTACAATAGCCTTCAAACACTTTGTTTCAACTATCTTGAGATTCAAAATAAATATTCAGTTTCTTGATATAAAAACTTTAGCAATGAAATTGGCATTTTGGTCCGTAATCCAAAGACACATATCTTTCATGAAAATTTCATAGCCCTTTCTAACAAGTTGGCCAAACTCAAAATATCACTTTTTAATTTAGACACATAACAAACTTTAGTGAATTAGCTTATGGCTTCCATCTTTGGAAGAAATTAAAATTGCACATTTCTTTTCAATTTGAATTTGGGAGGAGTCTCCAAAAGACACCTTACCTTTCATCTTTTCATTAAGCTCTACAAACTTTTCTTTACTTCTATGTACATAATTACTTGCTTCATTTTCCAAATACCATGAATTATTATCATCCATTTCTTCCTCCTTGAGTTTTAGAAACAAAGTTGACTCCTCAAGTTTTTTGCCTCGTCATCATTAATAAGATTACTTCAAAATTTATGACAATTTTAGCATTCAGCATTTGACTTGTTATATCTCTTATGATTTGATATTTAGTAGTAGCCACGTCTTCTTCCTTTTGCTCTTCCACAACCTCTCCATATAAAAAGCTTTTCTCCTTATCGTGTGAATTATCACGATCACCTTTTCCATTTTGGCCACGATTATATCCTCTTCTTCATCCATATCTTCTTTGGCTCTTTTCTACCTTATCATCTTTCAAAGAAGCCTTGGCTTTGAGAACTTGCTCTAGTGGCTCTTCTTATCTCTTTCTGAACTTCTCTTTATAGGCTTATAAAGAACCCTTCAATTCTTCAATAGTCATAGAGTCTAACTCTTTTGAATCTTCTATATTCTTCAATAGTCATAGAGTCTAACTCTTTTGAATCTTCTATGACTCAAACCGCATAGTCAAATTTAGGAATCAAGAAACAAAGAATCTTTTCCACCATACAAACATCTTCTACTTTATCTAAATATTTTTTTAATTGATTCACAATGGCCTTCACCCTTGAACAATAATAAAAAATTGACTTGGATTCCTTCATGCTCATGGCTTCAAAATCACCCTTTAGTGATTGAATTCTAACTTTCTTCACTTTGTCAACTTCTTGGAGAGAATCAAAATCTCCCAAGCTTGCTTTGAGGTGGTTGCATCGACCATCTTTTCAAACATAGAATCATCCAAACATTGATGGATGAGGGTAATGACATGTTGATCTTTCTTCATTGTCTTTGACAAAACATCCTTCTTTATAATATCCTCAACCTAAAACCTCCTAAAGTATATAGAATTATTAATTAATTTAATTAATTAAGGTGTGAATTAATATTTATGCTTGTTTAGAAAACAAATTAATGCATGCATAAATATTATGAAGGGTGAATGAATTATTTAATGCTTGAATTAGTGAGGTTATAATATTAATTATGATGGTTATGGAAATTGAAAGTTTAAGGACTAAAATTGAAGGACCCAATTGAATGAATTAAGAAAGTCTAGTGACCAAAATGTCCAAGTATGTTGAATTGAGGAATCAATTAACCATAATTTAAGCAACAAAAAGGAGAGAAAGAGAGGTCAAGTTTTTCAATGATATGAGAAAGAGAGAGAGAGAGAGAGAGAGTATCTTAGGAAGAAAGATGGAGAAAATAGGAGAGAAATCTATAAAACTTCATAAAGAAGAAGTTTGGGAGATAGATGATCCAAGTGTCTCACATTTGGTAAAATCACAAGAAATTTCTCTCCTATAAATTTGGTAAGAAGAGAAAGAAGAAAGGTGATGGAAAAGTGAAAATTCAAGGGAGAATATCTTGATTTCAAGCCAATTTCAAGTGAAATCAAGCCAATCCACCCTATAGAAACATCTAAACTACCTAAATGCATCCCAAAATAACTTTAAAACACTTGAAGAAACTAAGCAAAGGAGGAAACTTTGAAGTTTGGGATGAAATTTAGTAGGAAGAAAAAGGGAAGGAAACTTCAAGTCACCTTGGTGGAATTTAACCAAGTATCAACCGAGGTAAGTGTAGTCCTCATTACACCACAAGAAATTATTGTTTTGATGCTTGATTGATATTTTTTTGAAGTTTTGGAAGTTGTGAGTTATATGTTCAATTATTTGAATTTGGTGGAATTTGTTTGATCTTGATGAATTAACGTTTAAATCATCCTTTTGATGAATGAGTTATCATGTTTGAAAGCTTAATTGAGATTGAATTAAAGAATTAAAGTTGATAAATTAAGAAGGAATGATTTGGCCAAAATAATGATTTTTGAAAAATTATTTGTTTTCGTGAATTTGTGTTATTTAGGTGTTCTTAGTGTGGATTGTGCATATTTAAATGTGTTGATTGAAAATTTATCATGGATTTGGTTGATTAAGAAAATTTAGCCATAGCTAAGAATTTAGATTAATTGGGTTAATTGGTCTAATTGAATTAATTATGTGTTTATTGTTGAATTAGATGTAATTAAATATGTTTAATTGATGAATATATGTTAATTGTTCTTAGTGAGTGTTTCAGCCAAAGTTGATCATTATGGATATTTGCCAAATTTCATGAATATGTGATGAATTGATGTTTGATGTGTTGTTTAGGGATGGATATGTGTGAATATTGTTTGATTAGCGCTTGGTTACTTGAGAGGGAATTGTTGAATCTAATTAAGCCAAGACCTAGTTTTGGTGTTGGTTGAATTAGTTTAATACTCATGTTGTTTGATTATTACAAGGATGAATTAACATGGAAATAGGTGTTTGAAGGAAAAATTCTTCTTTGTTGTATAAGATATATAATTCGACCAATAAGGAACAATAAGGTTAAATGTTCTATTTTTATGGAACTCGTAAATATGTTATATGATTATATTATTAATTGTATGATTATAATGTTAATTGTCCATGTTATGTTTAAGAAATCTATTAAGCAAATGATGTGAAGATTTTGGCATGAGTGCAAAGAGAATGATCCATTTGCAAAGTTGGCATGGTTGCAAGTATGTAAGGAAAAGAATGGATTCATGTTTAAGGAAGGAATTGCAAAGAGAATGATCTATCGAATACTCTTTACAAGGCATACAAAATAAATGATCTAATGAATAACCTTGTATGTCAAAGGAAGGACATGCTAGGAGAATGATCTAATGAAGACTCCTAGTATGTAAAAATGAGAATGATCTAATGAATACGTTGAATTCATCAAAGGAGGGCTCACAAGAGAATGATCTAATGTATACTCTTGTGAGAAAATTAAGAAAGGTGCTTAGCACCATAGGTATAAGTATATTTGTATGCACAGAGTTAGACTACACCTATTAAGTATTACGCTTTAATTTCTTATGGTGTAGGTGATAAAGTTTCCAAATGATGAAGTATTTCGATCCTTGTCAAGGAGCGTTCAACTAGCCGATTTATGTACTTAATAATTAGAAGTGAGTGCGAAGACCTTTTGTTTTCTTTTATGACATGTTTTGGGCTTAAATATATGTGTTAGGTTTAATACTTATGATTTGTAAAAGAATGGTATTCGTAGGTTTTCTATAAATATTAAATGAATGTGTGTGTTTGATTTAGTTAAATTGAAGTTTAATGAATTACATTAATCCATTATTTAGCTTCCAATGAGCTAAGTTAATGGTTTAATTGAGCCAATTAATCAATTTTCTAATTTAAAGGATTTTCAATTAAATTGAGGTATATTAATTTTATGATATAGACTAATTTAATTGGTAATTAATTAAGTAAAAGAAAATTGATTATTAAGATGATTATTTTCCAATTAATTCAGTTTCTAGAGGAAAATAATAAGGATTTAATACAATATATTAGACTAAATTGATTATTTGGTAGTAATATATATATATAATTCAAATTTAATAAAAATATTTAGAAAAAATTAAAGAGGCAAATTAATTTATTTTAATTCAAAGTAATTTATTAAAGTCATGAAATTAAATTTTATGAATACAAGTTTTTTTCCCCCCAAATTTTTGGCAAGTATCTTTACATATTATTTTATTTAAGGAATGTGTTTATTAAAAGAATTATCTTGGAAAACTTTTATACTTGGTTTTTATTTAAAGGTTGGGCCTAATTAATTAAATCAAATGGGCTTGGGCAATGTAAATTAAGAATTTAGTTAGTAATTAATAATTAAGGACATGACATTTAATATTTTGTATTCATTACACTTAGAATGTCTTATATTCTCATTTTGAGAAATATCATCATCATCTTGAGGATTCTCATTGTTATTTTCTACAATGTGCCATACATCTTGAGAGCTAAGTAATGCTTTCATATAAAGATACCAATTCTCATAAGAATTTTCTTTTGTAAGACGAGGAAAATAGAATGAAAGAATTTTATTGTTTGCCATCTCTCCGATATTCCTTCAATAGTCTTTTCCAACTCTAAATATCTTGACCCCGATACCATTTTGTTGGAGGAGAGGAATTATAGAGGAGAAATATTTCAATATTCCTTGTGTTTCACTCATAATTTCTAAGGCCAAATATATAGGGTATATATAGGTAATCCTAAACACTAGTTACATGAACCATATTAATAACCAATACATAAGCCGTAATAAATACTAAGCATATGAACTCTTACATACAAAGCACCTACACGCATAATGAACTTAATCACCTAAAACATCAAAAGACACATGTATCTTGTCATAAGAGAAATCTAGAAAATTCAAATTATTTATTTTCAACAGTAATTAGGGGCAACATACATACAATGATAACATAAAAACAGAGTGCTTTATCACAGAAATGAGGCTCCCATGGGCTGCATTTCCACTAAAAAAAAAAAAACGGCAAACCATACAAGCTACCTTGACACTGAGATCACTCGGGACAGCCTTAAACTCATGCTGAGTTATTGACCTCTTTAGAAACCTCCTCAACTGTTTTTCCACCTTCAAGTACACTCAGAATTTGAGACATTGAAGGCCTGATAGAAGGCGACAAATCGACGCACATAATTGCTAAGGTCAGGATGGTGTTGGCTTGATCCCAATCATATCGGTTCATTCTTTCATCGACTAATTCTGCAAGTTTGCCCCTTGCATGTAATTTACCAGCCTGCATTTGTGTGACATCATTAGTTTTATAGACATCGGCAAAGAGTATCACATGTTCATAAAAATTTTAGATCATAGAATTTAGTACTTTGCTCGTACCGTATTGAGAAGGAAAACAGATTCTTGGTTTCCACTATAATCTGCATTATTTTTGCCACTAACGATTTCAAGAAGAAGGATCCCGAAACTATAGACATCAACTTTAACAGTGATGGCTCCTCTGGTTGCATATTCTGGTGCCATGTATGAACTGCAATAACGGAAACCTTACATTATTAAGTAAAGTGGAAAATAGAAAATGAGCTGCGTTACTTACGCGTCTCCTCCTGCTTGCATGATGTTATATTGACTTTCCTCCTCATAAAACTTAGCCAAACCAAAGTCTGATATTTTGGCATTACATTTTGCATCAAACCCTTCGCAATTCCCCAGCAGAATATTAGTGGATTTGATATTTCTGTGAATTATTTGTGGTTCCTTCTCATGAAGATGCTTCAAACCCTTCGCTATTCCCCAGCAGATATTATATCTATTTTCCCAATTAAGATCCACTGTAGAATTTGAATCTGCATATCCCAGTATCAATGGTCAATAACCCTGCTATGTTCTTCTCTGAAAAGTTCTCAAGATATCAAATATTAAAATAAGTAAAAGCATACCATTGAAATCTGCTTCCCAATCTAGTCTACCATTGATCAAACACATTTAAAAAATTGAAATGGACAGAATTTTTACCATTTTGTCCCAGTGTAATTTACATGAAATAAAAAGGCCACAATGCGCAGTGCAAGATGTCAAACAAAAATTCTTGCTACACAGACAGAAGGAAAATGCTTTTCCAAATTTATAATAAGCAAGTTTGGGTATAAGAGATACAAGGAAATTACCAAATAAAGCCTGCTTAAGTGATCCATGTTCCATATATTCGTATATTAGCAAATGTAGTTGATTTTTGGAGTAAGTAGCAAGCAATGGAACGAGATTCTCATGTTTCAAGTCTAAGACCTTCTTGGCGTAAACTTCTCGTGCTATTTCGTCGACTGCTTTTGACCGAGAGAACAGCTTCTTCACTGCAACAGTAAGACCCGGCAGTTCACCCTGTATCCATGCCAGGTGAAAAGTTGAAACAAAAGAATAAAATAAAGCATCCCTTCAAGGAAAAAAATTTCTCAATAAGAGAGTATTTTAACCTTGTATACTATCCCAGAACGCCCCCTGCCAAGCTCCGTCTTAAATTTATTAGTTGCATCAATGATCTGTTTGAGGGTGAAATCTCTTTCTCCGATCGTCACTTTTGTTTCTATTCCAATAACAGATGATTTAATTTAGTTAAACCATTTTACTGTAAAAAATTATTCTTATAGATAACGGATGTCCATAGATTTTCTTTGCTTAATGCTTACCGCGTAATTCTCTGTCTCCTATCCAGCCCATTCTCCACATAACGGCCAACAGCAGAAGCAGAAACAAAATACAGCTTACTGTAATTACCGCGATTTCCCAAGGATGTAGTTTTCTGGGAACTTTGGAAACAGAAAACAACAGCTTGTAAACAGAAAGCAATAAATTATTCTGGAGTAACTGAAATCTGGGTTTTATCAGAAAAGGGAAAGTGTTGCTTCCTACCACGGGTGACTGAAATAGCTGAAACGAGAGGTCCATTGATAGCAGGTGGATTGTACAGAGAACCTTTGCCAGCCCAGAAGAACTGGATCTCCAGCGAACCATCATGTATTGTAGTGGGGAATCTTAGCTTTCGTTCTTCATTTTGTTCTCCAGGGATTTCCTTTATGTTGAGATCTTTCATCACGTTTTGTTTCTGCAATCAAGAGTTCCTTAATAATATTTATGACATTAGTACATAAATTGACATTCTGAAAAGTAAAATACTTACCTGAATATATACATCAAAAACGCGTTTCCCAACTCTGCTGTTATCTTCTTCCTTCGAATATAATGTTTCAGCAAAATGAAGTGTCACAAAGTACGTGCCTTTACGCAAGCATAGCCCATAATACGTTAGAGAGACAGGAGCAAGGCGAAAATTGTTTTGTAACTTTGCCTCAGGACTAGACACTTCACACGTTGAGTTTCTTACTAAAGTACTGTTATTGATTGTGGCCCAAAAGTAGTCTCCAGAAAAGCTATAAGCCCAATCCTCAGATGGACTTCGATTAAAACTTGCTGTCGAGGTATCATTATGATAATGATCCTTTCCTATTCTTACCTCCTCACCACCACTATTTATAAACAAGGAATTATCTGCAAGAAAACTCATTTTAGTGGAAATACGATCGTACCCTGCAGTTGAAATATTTCTCTTCATACTAGTCTTAAGGCCTCCCATCTGATTTTAGTGACTCCCTTAAACTTGTAAGGATGTCGTACCATTCTGTCCAAACCCTTTCTTCAGAATTTGAGTTTGAAAAATACATTTTGTAAGAGGAGGCTAGAGTAGCACTTCAACTTTGTTGTTGGTGCCAGTCTAGTCTCTGTTATCATAATAGGAATTCCTTATTCTGCTAACTATTACTAACTACGAACTAATGCTAACTGCTTGACTGTTTAACTAATGGCTATGAATTGCATGGTTTTATCTATGTCAAAAAATAAAGTTGGATAAGAATTTCAATTTCATATTCGGTATATGCTAGACAACTTCAATTAGCATTAAAAAAAAAAAAAAAAAAAAAAAGAACATACGCTTTCGATGACATTTCTCCATCTGCATCTGAGCTATGAAATATCTGAGAAATTAACACAGAAATTCGTTAGAAATGGTTCAGGGTTACTCTTATTGCAGAAAATGAGAAAATAATATACTACCTACCTGGTCGGGTGACTGGAAAAGCACCAAATCATGAAATCAGACAAAAAAAATTAGTGAGAAACTATCACAAGTACTGATTTACGAAAGTTAATTAACTAAAATTGTCAAAGAATGTCAAATGGATCGGAGTTTGATCTGTCTCGTTACATTTTTACATCTTCAAGTCCCAAACATGTTATATTTTCACACGTCACATTGAAATCATTGTACGAAAGATCCCTGAAAGAAAAAAAAATTTTTAAAAAACGAAGCTTGCATATAATTTGAATAACTCCGTCAAACACTCACATTTGATTAACGTGGAGAGAAATCGAAATTACCGTTGTACAAATATTAAATTGGTAATCTGAAAATATATCTTTAAAAATAATTTATTGTTAATTAAATTTTTTATACAATTTTAATATTATGACATATTCCTTGTAATCTTATCCCTTTTCTAATTCATATGTGTATTACATTCTTAGAAGAAAAAAATTTATTAATTCCTAAAAATTGGATCAATAATGTTTTTACGTTATATACTTTTTAATATATCTCACAATACTCCTTATGACAATTAATATATAATTATCAAATAACTCATGACTTTTCTAGTATCTTATTGATATTTTATTTTGATTATGACAACTCTAAAATCTATGTTTTAAACCAAGCTAATGAGAATCAATATTGAAATCCAAATAAAAAATTAATAAATTAAATAAAAATTGATCAACGCCAAACATTGAAATTATCAAATATTTATTTTATTTTATTGTTTATCATATAATAAAACTTAGTATATTATTGAAATCCTGATCAAAAAATAATAAATTATGTAAAAATTGATTTAAACCAAACATTCAAGAGGATATTATTACATTATTCATTATCAGATATTTATTTTGTTTTATTGTTAATCATATAAACCAACCAAGTTTATTCTTAGAGTGAAAATGCCAAATTTGAGTTTTATTTTTTTAGTTTAAACAAATGTTTATCAAATCTTTTTTTTATTATTGTATTGCTTATCATATGATAAAACTAAATTTATTTTTAGAATGAAAATGCCAAAATTGATATTTATTTATTTATTATTAAATCAGATATCCAAGTACCTTATCATAAAAGGCAAAGCTCTTCGTTCGTTAACAAAAGACATGAAACTCTTCTCATAACAACATGATGTAAGGAATATTATTTTATTTTGAACTATATTTATTAACTATATTATGAAGCTGAAATCGTTCTATTTTCTAACATTATAGTATTTAAAAAATTTTCATGTTAGTTGGAAATCTGAAATCTAAGAAGGCAATAAATGAAGGAAATCAAAAGAAATGCACAAGTTTTAACACTATTGAAGCATACTTCAAATATACAGAAGTGGGTGTTAAACCAAAATTATCTTACGTTTCAGGATAGGAATATCGATTTGACTTGCTAGTGATCCAGGAAGGAAGCTTGGTAAACGAGTTGTTTGTAAGAAATCTGAGTAGGAAACAGCAACCCATCAACAACAATGGTTAACCATATCTAATGTTTTAAACAAGCAACTTAAACACATACAACTTAGTCAGGTTCTGAAATGATTTTGGAATGTCACCAGCTAAGTTGTTGAAGCTCAAGTCACTACAAGACGAAGGAAAATACATCAAATCTTGGTTCAATAGATAAACTCATATTGAATTACATATTGAAGTGTCAGCTGAAGGAAAGAGATCGAAAGAATGAGTAAGAGCTATGTATTAAGTGTGAAGCCATAATATCAAGGAGTTTAACCATTTTTCTGTAAACTGAAAAAAAAAAAATAGAAAGTCAAAGCACCTAATTATGGAAAAAATACTTGGTATTCAGAACAAGGTTAACGTACAGATATATGAACCGATTCCCTCGCCAATATTTTCGGGTATTGAACCATTAATTTTGCAATTCCTCATAACCCTGTAGAAACAATTGAAGAAGTAAGGGAATCCATATTTCTTGATTAACAACTTGAATTTGCTTGATGCCAAGCATCAATTGCAGACTATTGAAGAAGTGATAACATTTATTTATTTATTTATTGCGATGCTCAATATTCCTTGAGCTACATAAAAAGAATTAGTAGCCCTCTCCTCCCTAAATGCCACCCCGCTGGTCTTAAGATTTGAACCTAAGATCTGCTACTGAAAATATCTAAATTGTTAGAGAAGTGATAATAGTTGCCAAGTTCAAACTTTAGCTACTATGAAGGATAACCAGAAACACTATAAAAACACTCACACAATAGCCAAACTTTCTGATATATTTTTATCGTCTGGTAAAGATATTCCAGGATTGCTTACATCACTGACTAACCTGGAATCATAGAACCATATCTTAGAATTCTTTAACAAGAAAATAACCCATTTAATAAAAAAATAAAAATGCAGACGTCATAGAACTGCACATACAATGTCCTTAATTTTGGTAGAGTAAAAGTTTTTGGAGGCAGATTTCCGTAGAAATTATTTCCTAGAAGAATCCTGAAAAGTACAGAATTACACATCAGTTAAATTGAATTTCTTAGCTTGATAAATTTAATTAACTCCTCTATAGACCATAACATTTAACTTGACTTACAGACTGGTGAGGTTGATCCATTCTCCAACATAATTAGGTATCGGACCAGACAAATTGTTTCCACCAACTGCACTGCATTGACCCAAAAGCTTGATTTAATTATAACACACTCTGGAATTAAAGAAATTAAATTGCTTGAGAATAAAAATATTAAGGAAGAAACTTACAACGTTTTTAGATTGACAAGCTTGGAATATGTGTCAGGAATACTTCCGTTAAACTTGTTTGATGTCAAGTACCTGCAATAAATTAAGCAGGCGGAAGACAAAGGTATGAAATTTATATCTTTGACCCCTTTACAATTGCAAGATGAATACACTTTTAACATGATTAAAAATAAAAAAGAAAGAAACTTACAGGTCTGTAAGATTGACCAAGCTCCCAAGCTCCTTTGGAAGGTTTCCCTCAAGATTATTGTCATCCAGAGTCCTTTTTCCAGAGGAAAATATACCAATAAGTAGATAATTTTTTAATAGACTTGAAAAAGAAACTCAAAGAAGTGGTAAGTGTATTTTTCATACAGAAAAGTGAGTGCAGAGAGATTTCCTAGCTCGGGAGGAATAAGGCCTGACAACGAGTTACTATAAAGGGTCCTGACAAATGGAATGATATAATGTATAAGTGCAATCAAGAAGCATAGAATTATCAATGTAATGATGGAAATAACTGGTAGTGGAGTTCCTTACAGAACTTTTAGTGAAGGAATTGTGCCCAAACTTTTTGGTATAGGACCAGTCAGGATGTTGAACCGAAGATTGCTGTGACAGGACGATTCACAGATATAAATAAACTAATCTTAAGATTTGTTAATCAAGATTTATTACTTTCTTTGCATGCCTTTGTAAAATTCAATTATTTGATAGTTGTAATCTGAGATTTTACAGATAAGAATGATTTTTTTTTTTTTTTTTTTTTTAAGTGCAAATGGTGTCATATGGGACTCAGAATTTTTAACCACCATGCTGTAAGGAGAAAGACTTACATGAAAGCCAATCCTTTACAATCACCTATGTTGTCTGGTATGCGCCCACTCAATTTGTTCACTGAAAGATCCCTGCGTCAGGTTCGGAGGACTGACCCATCAAAATCATTCTCAAGAAGCTTATTGTTCGGGTGAAATCACCACACGTCTCCGAAAGAAAAACGCTTTAATGAATTGAATTATTTGCTTCAACGAGTATTAGTAATACAACAGTCAAATAGAACCATTTTAGATTATAGTGTTAGAAAATAAGTAGCATAATTTTCAAGCAGCAAGGGTATTTTTTAAGGAAATTAAATAAATACATTCCTTTCGTGGACTTGGTTTTCAGTAGCTTTAAGAGTTCTGCAATATCACCTTTTTCTTTCCTCAAATTACCAAAGAATTCTACCTTTTCTCTCTCCACGGCTTTTTTTTTTTTGTATATGGTGAGGTATTTTTAGATTAGTTTTAATATTAATCAAGACTAAATCTAAAACTTTTTATACTAGATTAGTATCAGCCTCTTTTTTAGTTGATTCCAAGGAAAAAATTTCTTTTAAGTCCACCATCAGTTATGTTTCGTGCCATACAAAAAGGATGATGAAGTTTTCAAAAGTGAGAACTTAGTCCTTAACATGGTAAATTAAAATACTCTATTTATCACTCTACCTATAACTTTTATTGTCAATGCGGTGGTTTCTATCTCAACTTGGCTTTTATCTTGTATCCCTTGCTTGTAAACACAAAACATTCCTAAAAAAATAAGGGGATTGTTAGGTATTTTTGGAGTAAATAGTTTCTTATCTATGCTACGCTATGGGTCGAAAAAATATGTGAAATAATTTTTTAAAAATCATTTCAGATTAATAGTCTACACTATATTATATGTTTGTCATATATTAAATTAAAGGAGAAAAAAATTCATTCAAATTTATAATTTATTAATCAAATTTTGCATTTAACTAATACTTTCTCATTTTTTTCGTAATTTTTAAAGGAAAAAATAATTTATTTTTTTATTCATAAATTCTTAATTAAAAACTTGTAATAATCTAAAAAACATTTAATATGAAATAATAAAAGCCATAGTGTGTGTATATATATATAAGACTATGCTTTTAAAATAAAATAACAATTGATGTAAAAACTTGCATAAAAATAAAGTAATGAAAAAATTGATTATTATTTAATGTTAATGAGAAAATTAGTTTTTGAAAGTCTCGTATACTTGATTTTAATATATTTATTCATAAAATTATCAAAAATATTAGAATAAAAATATATATTTAAATAATTAGATAGGTCAACAAAATCATAATTTTAATTATTTAATTTGAAAGAAATTGATTTCATAATATTCATAAATAAATAAATACTAAATGATCCGTGGTTTATATTGTTGCATAGTTAATTTCTAATGAAGCTAACAATTTAATATTGTTTTTACATATAACTATGCTAATTAGGTTTAGAGTTTGCAATATAAAGGCAAAAAAAAAAAATTAATAATAATAATTTGTAAGTAATATATTGAATAAATTTGAATTTAATAAAATAAAATAAAAATTAATACAAAATTGATTTTGATAAATTTTGATTACATAAAGAATTAGCAAATAAAACACATCAACTCTTTTTCTTAAATTTTATTATTATTATTATTATTATTATTATTATTCAGAGAACAAGCATCATAATATCAATGCCTTGGATTATATAGCAGAGTTTGCTCTATGTAACAAATTATACACAGACATTATACAAAAGCCAAAAGCAGAAAAAAGGTTTAAAACGTTGACTGCAAACTACTCCTTCGAATTTACTGTACCAACTTCAAAATCAGTTATCAGTGATGAAAAAACTTTAAATTACACAACTTAAATATTCTTATCCTTCTGAAGCTGTAAAGCTTTTTAAAGACAGGACTTACAGCTCTCTCAGCCTACGCATCGATGTCAGGCTAGCAGGTATAGAACCCGTCAACATATTTCTTGAAAGGTTCCTGATTTTTTCACAACAACATTACACCATTGAAAATAAGCAGATCCTATATATGCCATCATTTAAATAGAACCACACGAAACAATGCTTTAACCTACAATTTTTCGAGACTTCGTAAATTGCTCAGCGAGAGCGGAATCACACCTTGCAGCTGATTGTCGGATAGATCACTGTTGTGGCAATATCATCGAACATTAATTTCAACTAGGGTGACCACTGTAGGTGTTTAGTTCAACAAGCACAGCACAACTTTATGTAATGAGTAGTAGTGATGATACTTACAGTACTTTCAAGTTTTTAAAGGCACTGGCTGAAATAAAGGGAATATATCCAGCCAAATTTTGGCTTCTGAAGTTTCTGTCACAGAAATTGAAGTGATTTACACAGAGAGAATTATTTTTGAACAGGTAATTTCATGCAAACTTGCTTTTAATGTTTTCTTCTTTTTTTTTTTTTTTTTTTTTCCTTTCTCTATTGTTTGGTTTCGCAAATGACCAACTAATTCTATAATCAAGTTTTGAGCTTACATTTCGACGATGGAACAAGCTCGGGTTTTGTTGTCACAGGAACAATAGATCTGGTCGTGCATGTCGTTTGAACAATACCAATTCAACTGGACAGACGTTATTCCACTGGACTGTAAACTGTTGATGAGGTATCGAAGAGCAACACCTGCCATTTCAACACAAAAGTTCCTTTTGATTAAATCCCACTAGGTTTCATATAAAAATAATCAACTTTACTATGTAAATACATAAATGGATTAAAATGACCAAGACTGAAAACATCGAGGATTTATCCAAAAAGTGAAACTAGATTAAAATTATCAAAGATCAATTCAAAAGCTTAAAGATAGTTTTATTTTACTTTTTTAACAAATTCATTTATTATTTTTTAACACATTTTTCATGTAAGATGGTTTTATATATTCATTTAATCAATAAACTTCTAATACCATATTAAAAAATTATTATAACTTCAAAAATTAAGTTGTTGATGGTCTCAAAAGAATTATTTAAGTCCAAAATTAGATTAATTTTATATTTTTCTCTAATAAATTTTTTGATTTAAACTTTTGTGATTGAAATTATTCCCTCCATGGACGACGAATCTTGGATACAATATCAAAACCAACATAAAAAATTTTCTATCCTCATGCTTTGCCTCTATCCTGCATCAATTAATAATTAGTTAAAGTTTGGTCGGGTTCAATTCTAGACACACAACTAAACATTTATTCATACATCTTTGAAGGAATAAAAGATCGATTAATCTGTACCTTCGACAGGTATAGTGCCATAATAGGAAGTAGCATCAGTGCCAAGTTGCAAGAGAAGAGGAAAGTTAAGGAGAAGAAGGCTACTGATGAGTACGCCTTCACATTCAGAACCCATTGGCTTAGGCATAACTGTACCTCTACTGTAGGGGAGTTTCCAAAGGCAAAGGGAGAAGATTTAGAGAGGATAAACTCGCAAAAGGTATCGAGCAAAGTGAATAACAAGATATTTATAACAGTTGGGGATTGTAGAGAAAGGAGAAATTTGAACGTGGGGCCCACACTTAAAAAAAAAACCTATTAATTTTAAATTCATTTGAAGTTTAGTTTTTTTTTTATTGATTTAAAAAATTTCTAGACTTTTAATATTTTTTTTTCAAATGTAACGTACTTTTCAGTTTTTTATCTTTTATTTAAAAAATGACAATCATATATATATTTTTACTTGATTCGCTTAAGACCATTATTTATTGTAACTTTCTCTAAAAATTGATACTTCGACTTGATTCAAACCTTGAACATGTACACCATATAATATAAGAAATTAGATATTATTATTTTATCTCTAATCATTTAATTTTTATTAATTCTTATTCTTTTCTTGTAATTTCTTTTAATTAAAAATCCTAATTAAATCATCAACTTTACTCTAATTTATTCAATTATTTTCTAATTATACTCATATAATCTAATGTTATTAAATTTTAACTTAACATTTTTAATTCTCATTTAAATACACTTAATCATCAAATATTCTAATAAAAATTTCAGATTTTAATACTAAAATATAATTTTTACATAATCAATCTTAAATTATGAAATTTCAAACTCAATTCTACCTAAAATCATATAGAACTAAATAATTAAATATTTTTCTTACCTTAGATATTAAATCACCAAGACTTGAATCTTATTCTAAATACCTTTGACTCACTTCTTACTCAATTATATTCTCTCTTTCTTTTTAAAATATAAGCTTATGAAATGACTTTCCTCAATGAGGAGAATGACCCCCTATATATAGGTATGGGAAGTTGAAAAATTTAAAAATTTTAAGTATATGAATTAAAAATAATAAAAGACTATTAACTTTGTTTTTTTATCACCACTATGTGGCTTTCTTTCATTACCATTTCTTTTCTTTTATGACTACTAACCTTCATTCTTTTATGATCACTTTCTTTAATAGTCACTAACCTTCTTCTTTTATGGCCACTTTCATTTTTTCCATGGCCATTCATGTCTCGTCTTTAATTTTAATATATGTTTTAAAATTTTTACTCTTCTTTTATATCCACTAACATTCCCTTTAAAAGGTAATAAAATGTATTATTATTTTATTAATTATTATTACAAATTTAATCCTTTAATTTCTAATAACTTAAGCTAAGATTATAGGATTAATTCCTATCTATAAAATATTACCTATAATACCAATATATATATATATATATCATCTAAATGCATAAACAAAAATAAATAAATAAATTACATATACAAATAAGGCACATTTATGCATATATACACACAATATATTATTATGTAAAATTTTTGGGTATTATACCTAAGAAATAATTTTATATTACTCTATAATATTTATAACAGTTGTGATGATAGTAAAATTTTAGGATTAGGATAGGTATTTGAGTAGATGTTAGGGATCCATGAATACATTCTTAAATTTTGAGGCCAATTGGATTAGGTAAAGGGGAAGCCACCTTAGTTCGGAAGGAGCCAGCGACCCCTAAACTTCAGTTTTGTCAAGCTTGTAAATTTTTGAATTTTTCAAATAGGTTTTTAATAGTTAAAAGTATTAGATTGGTCCCTCCAGTATATAATTTTAATCAAAAATTTAGTGTTTTAACGAGAAAAACACTCTATCTTTCTCATAAACATTAATAATTTACCTAATTGGAAAATATTCTTAATAAAACTTTAATTAATCACTAGGTATATATATTAAATAATAATTTGATAACATATATGTAGTAATTAATATAAAAGTTTTTACATTTTTGTCTTACTTCATATTTAAGAAATCTCAGTAAACGATATACACGCACATATGTCTCTCTCTCTCTCTCTCTTTCTGTATATATGTGTCTTTAACAAGACGGTTTTAGCTTTTCAGCGTAGAATTTTTGAAAATCGAAAGGTGCTAACTTTTTCTTTTAATAGTGCTTGTCAATTGGTATACATGAAAAAAGATGCTTTGCTTGATTTTTAAAATCCAAGAAAGGTGGAAAATTTTTATTTATTGATTGAATAGATCAGGTTCACAATGAATGATGATGAAAGATCAATGACGTACGTCTTAGTATTTGTTAGTGGTTGATTAATGAAAAGTAAACTTCATGAATTGACATGATGCTATTTTTTTTTTGGTTCAAATCCCTTAATTTGCCAATGTCTAAAAGTCTTATAATAAGTTCAAATCCCTTAATTTGCCAATGTCTCAAAGTCTTATAATAAGTTTACATATTACAATAGTTTATTATTAGACGATTTAATTGATTTGATTTCCAATATAATTACACTCCTGGCTAAATTTCTTTATGTATCCCAATAAACAAGTAGATTCACGTGTTCAAAATATTAGTGATTTTGCCATTTTTTTTTAAATTTTGATCCATCAAGACATTGAATAAAATAAATAAAATAACAATAAATTAAAAATAAAACCAAGAAAATTAATTAATTAGAATTGTTTATATATATATATATATATATATATATATATATTTCCTGTTTAGTTAAGATTTAATTTCAGGTAAATATAGAAGTTTAAAAAATAAAATAATGAGTAGCATAAATATAAATTTATATAATTAATTAGTTAGTTTTGTTAGTTTTCTTTTCCTTTTTTTTTTTTAAATGTCGTTTAAAAAAATAGTAAAAAGTAAATGCTCCATCTCTTTTATGTAATTGGACAAATCTCTATCATATTCTTATGTTTCTAATTATGTCTATTATATTATTGTATAATAATTAAATCTCTTTCGTGAGTGATTTAGACCATTATATGCTTAGACTTTTCAAAAAATTTCGATATTTGAAAAAATTTCTATTTTGGATCCAAAATATCTTTAATTATTATTTTTTAAAAATGTGGTTAAATTATAAAAAACTAATAAATTAGAAAAAAGAATATTTAAGATAATCAAACCAAAATTCTTCAAAATTAAATGGAGAATTTAATATCTTTTATCTACTAAAAAATAATTATATCTATTTTTTTACAATCTTTTTCTATTCTTTAAAGTCTTCGAATTTAATTATATATTTTTATAATCGCAATTAAGGGTATTTTAGATATAAAATAAGATTTTGATAATAGTTTTGTAAACACGAAGGGAGTTTTTATCAAACCTTCGAATTTTTGAATTATCTTTAATGTTGTGATATCTCAAATGAATTATTATCATTTACCCTAAATCTTAACTGGTAACTTAAAAAAAAAAAAAAAAAAAAAGCATTGTCACTCCTTAGCTTTCTCTTTCAATGCCACATCTCCACATCTCCATCTTGTACATCCGCAAACATCACAATAACCATACAAACCTAATTGTCTAGGATGGATTAAAAATTATTATTTCAAAGACTTCTATTTTCAGTCAACATATAATTTCACGTCAAGTAGTTATTTCTTTTTCTTTCTTTGATGTGTCAAAATATTATACTGAAGATAAGTGGTTTCCAACTAAAGAAATTCCATAATGGAAAAGGGAAACCAATCAATTAGTGCAAACCATAAGATTATGGTCAGTGTCTTTGGAAGAGCCGACCAAAATTCTACAAAGTAATTAAAGTCAGTCTTTCTTTCTTTAATAGAGTAATTCAGAAAGCAATTAGTAAATGCCAAATAACCTATGGAGTTTCGCGTGGATATGAATTCTCTTTCGGTCTTTATGCTCTCATAGCTCAACTTAATAATAATAAATAAATAATAATGATCACAGTAATCATAATGATAATGATGATGAGGATGAGGATAATTCATAGTTACCAATCCATTAGTTCTTTGTATATTTTAATTGTGATCCAATGAATCGTTACATTTAACTATGTTTTCCCTTAAATCATGCATGTTCTTAAATCATGCATGTTTTCACATATCAGATAAATGATATAATTATCCAATTAATACAAAAACTTGGCACTCATAAGTCATAATCAATGGGAATTAATGAATCACTTCAAAGAATTTTGAATTTTATATTCCATTATTAGTGAACTTTGTTTGCAGTCAAATTAAATTTGATAAATTAAAAGAAGAAGAAGATAGAATTGTTACAGTTATTTTATCATGGGATAATTTTAAATTCATTAACAATTTTATTATTTCTGTCACTTGATTTTCTTAAGACTAGTATATAAGTAATGAGTGATTTATTAACAATTTTATTATTTCCATGAATTGATTTTCTTAAGACTATTATAGAAGTAGCGAGTAACAATTTTTATTGTGAATTTAACACCATCCTTTGAGTAGAATAAAGCATTAACCATGTTACATCTTGTATAAAATAAGATAATTGAGATTGAATTCTATCCAAAATACTTAAAGTTTATAATGAGAGGTCGTATCTCAAAACTAATATATTGTTTATTTATTCAATATGTGAAAGGCTTTCTAATATTCTATTAGAGTCTAAATTAATATGCACATAAGTTGTTCGGATAACAAAGATGCGAATGAAAATTTTCTATTTTTGTCAAGATTGATCATAAGTCGAAATTCCAAGCTTTATTTTCTAAATCAAATTAATTTTTTTATTTTTATTTGTAGCATCATATTAAACCGATCGTCGAACCCCTTTGTCAAGTGTCACGTCAATTTAACATTGGATCTAGTTTAAGTCTTGACATAATCGGTATGTTGAAGAAAGACCTAATTACTAAAATGTGATCAATTTGAGCTAACATTAGTGATATGGACCAATGGGCTTTGGAACTCATGGAATGATATTAGCGAGGTAGAAATTGAACAAAAACTTTTGATCTAATTTTGAGGTTTTTTGACCTTAATTTGATGCCAAATGAGCCAATGAACAAAACATATTGGCTATGCCCATGACGTAGGAGTAATTTTGGCAAAGAAACATCGCTGAGACCCTCAAAATTAGCTTT